TTAGATTAAAGGTTTATTGTAATTACCTAAGAGAAAAATACAAATCTGCACTGTAGCTCAGCTGTTTGAAATGTTCAACCATAGTGGTCATAAAAGTAAAAAAATTAAAAAAGTGCCATTTCACGGGAAATGAAGGTTTATAAAAAGAACACATGTTTACATGTGTTTCATGTTTATTATTATCTCTGCTTTCACGTGGGTTAGTCTGACTCAAATTAATTAAAACAAATATTTACACTAGATATAAGTGGTCTGCCATGTTTAATGCAACATCTGTTTCAGGGTTTGTTGATAGTATTATGTAATCTGAAAGTCAGTAGTAGAATTATTTAAAATAAGGGTAAAACTTAGTTTGGTCATTAGCAACTCAACAAACAAATATTCACAAAACAAACTTAAAGAATGGATGCATGGGCCACATCATGCAGAGACAAGAAATATGAAATACAATGAAAATGAAAAACAAACTGTAAATAACGTAAACCACAAACAAGATGTTATACATAAAATTAAAGGACGACATGGGACAAAAGTTAATATGAATTATTTCCACAGTGAAATCTTCAATCTTTATTTGTAGTCAGTTAAAGGGCTTTGGCCAAATGAGTTCCTGACCAAACACCATAAACTCCCGGTGGTGTCACTGTCTGCTCCTCAGCCATCGGCTGGTTTCTCTTTATCTAGAAATGTGCATGCTTTGCATGATCTGCTATCTCCCAGCAACATGGCTGAGGACACGCACACACACACACACACACACACACACACACAAACACACAAACACACACACACACAAACACACACACACACACACACACACACACACACACACACAAACACACACCCCCACACACATTCTCCAAAACAAAAATGGCCTTTAGCAGCACATACTGCTGGGTTCCTATTTAGAGGCTGGAGGGTGCAGGCGGGGGTGGGGTCCACAAAAGTCCATTTACAGTACGGGTCAGTACATGTGAAAGCCTTTACCACTGCAGCCAAATTCTTTGTCTCCCTCATTCACTGGCAGCTATCTAGACTGCAGGGTTCACAAAGGCAATTGGCATTATATTGTCTAGGCTGACATTAACCCCTGATATTTTCACTGCTCACCATTAAAGTCCTCTTTTCCTTCTCTATTACCGGGCAATTCCCACAGAGCGAGGGGTCACGGCAGCCATGGAGAGATACTTAGATACCTTCTGACAAAGGCAGAAAGAAAGAAAAGAAACATAAACTGCAGCGGCGATTAGTTCCGTTTTTTTTGCCTTTACTTTTGTCTTCGTTTCGGACACAAAGGTCCTTAACAGCCTGGATAAGGGCCGCTCTTAAGCTGTTTCTTACCTGATCCCCGCCAAAATGGCAGCCTATTCACTTCCCATTTTCCACACAGTCACTTTTCCGCTCCACCACAGCTTTGTGTTGACAGATAGAAAAATAGAAGAATGTGGAGCAAATGAATGTGAACAACAGCTTCACATTGTTAACACATTCAGGCCTTACATGAAATGTTGTTTTATTGTGTGGACTATGTCCAAGTGAGATATTTCAGAAGGGTTAGACTGAGGTCAGCTGAATAGTTGCACGGCTTAATGATAACAATGGCTGCTCAGAAGGTCAGTTGGCCAGGTTCAGCATTTCCAGACTAAATCAGGTCAGACTTAAGGCCCTATCTAATCTTTAGAGGCCTGATAAAATTGCTGTGTGGTATTCTGAAAGAATTTCTCTACTTGATATCAACATTTACATAGGCACAATTTCATATATTTAGTAAATGTCTAGACCAGACTTAAAGTGACAGAAGATGAAGAAAGTGGATAAGTCATTTCATGAGACATATCACGGGTCTTAGCACGGTACTTTAGAGGGTCAAGAGTTCAGCTGTTTCCCTCGTTGTCAGCACTTTTAAAATAGTGCTTTGAACATTCCATGGAGTATTTGACATGTTTAAAATATATTTTGCAAAAAACAGATGACTTTTTGTGGCACATTTAGCAAATGTGGGAGGGGAATCATCCAAACATCTCTAACTCCATACTCACTTACAAACTCAGGCACACTGACGTGAAATTGGTGTCCTCATTAGCACTTTTTCATCCACTGGTATCCTCTGACTCTCGCAGAGCCACCTGTATTTTAGGACAGCGTGCAAGCCCTCCATCAGCAGGTGAGGCATCACATTTCTGTAGCAGTGAACCCGGTGACAGACAGCATTGGGCTGACTCACACACACACACACACATGCATATACATACACCCTATTCTTTCCAACTGCCAGGCTGAGGAATGCCAGTGACAGAAGAGTCCTTGAGGCTGTCGACGGACAGGCCTGTGCGCAGGTGAGCGGGGGTCTGCTCTAGCTGAGCACACAGAAGATTCTCCCTGCCCCCAAACCACACTACACTGTGTTCATCCTTGGTGTCTGTTTCTGCTTTTAGACGGCAGCTATGCACCAAAATCCACTGATCAAACCTCATATGAGACATCTTATGAGTTTGTTGTTCACTTTCTCCCCTCAGCCATAATGTCACCGTGCATCGACTTTATCTGTTGGAGCATTAAAGGAGTTTGTGTATCTTTTGGAGATGGTGTCACATTTCTCCTCAGTACCTGAAATAGACTAATCAACTCTACTTAACCTATGTTTGCATCTGTAAATGGTAACACTTCACCACTTTATTGTGAGAAGTTACAAGGGATTAAATGGGGAACTAACTGCTAGTGAACCATCAATTAATGTGTAACCCCTAATTAAATTTTAAAGAGTAGTTAAGGATTAGGTAATGATTGGTTAATGAAGAAACGAGTGAGGTACTAATCGGGAACAACTTGATCACTGATAAATCGTACATCCCTAATGATTCCTAATGGAGGACTAAATAGTAGATTACGATGAGTTACTAGAGAACAGACTGGGAGATCCTATATTAATGAATCATTAGGTAATGATTAATCAATATCTGCAGATTGATCATACATACATCCACTTTCTTCAGGAGTTGTTCCAGAATAACTCATAACGGCGCAAAACTAGTAACCACTCATTCATTACTAACTAAACCTTAGTTACTGTTTATGTGCACCCCAAGTAAAGTGATTCATCACACTGAGTAGTTAGTTAGTAGTTATTAAGTAGTCCCTCATTACTTTATCATTATATTACAATTGCTTACTCTTTTTGTGGCCCCTGAAGTGAAGTGGTTCATCATCCTGAGTGGTTATTGAGTACTGAATAATTACTTAATTATTACCTGTCCAGGGTTACTCTTTTTGTGTCCCTTCAAGTAAAGTGATGCATTACGCAGAGGACTTGTTGAGTACTGGATAATTACTTAATTATTACCTGTCCATTAGTTACCCTTTCTGTGTCCCTTCAAGTAAAGTGGTGCTTCACACTGAGGGCTTGCCGGGTACAAAATAATTACTTAATTATTACCTTTCCATAAGTTTAACATTTTTAGCAGTAAGCGAGACAGTGTGCAGGAGTCCTTCTCATTGTTTTTAGATACAACAACGGCCACTATACACATGCATTTGTTTCCACAACCATTTATTTATCTGCAAAAGTATAACGGTGCAAAATACAGCGTTTGTGTGCTTCAGAAGGAGACATGGGGCGAGAGCTGCTGGTAGTCGCAGGGGTAAAAATATTGGTCTCTGTAGGCGGCTGTTCAGTGTGCCTGCCCGTTTCATCTGAATAACACGCTGAGAAAAAAAAATTAAATGTTGGGTTCTTGGGGTGCACATAAACAGTAACTACTTAGTAATGAATGAGTTGTTACTAGTTTTGTGATTCAGGAGCAACGCATAAAGAAAGTGGTCAGTATTATCAATCTGCAGACATTCATGAACGAATCATTACCTAATGATTAATTAATATAGGATAGAAACTCATTATTATCTACTATTTAGTCCTTCTTTAAGAATTATTAGGGAAGTACTTACTAATGATTCATCACTGATCAAGTTGTTCCTGATTCGTTCCTGACTCATTTCTTTATTAACTATTAACTCTATAAAATGTAATCAGGGGTTACTCATTAACTAATGGTTTACTAGCAGTTAGTTCCTCATTTATTCCTCATTTGTTAACTCCTCAAAATGTTGTGTCCCTTACTGTAAAAACTGCCCCAAAAATTCAATTAAATGAAACAGACAGCTGAGAATCAAGTCCAGCGTCATTAAATCGCCACTAAAATCTAAATGACTGGTGATAATATTCCCCTCAGCCTTGTTTTTCCAGAGCACACAGGGTTGTTTTGGCAGTGTATGTGTGCAACCACAGGTTAGGGTCAAGAAGTGTTACAGCTCAACAGAGTGTGCAGCTTGTTCGGGCTGGCGCTGCGATGTATCATGTGAGCTCACAGCATGGGCCCTACATCTTCCACAGCTATTTCTGTCAGTGTAAAATCATGAGAACCACTTTAACCAACACAAGGCTGGGCAGAGGGTAATATCTCGGCACTGCACAGTGCCAGGTCTGTTCCCTCCGGCAGCCCAACTGTCTGGCTATATGTTCAAAATAAATAGGATTCCTGCCTTTTTTTTATTTGATGTTTGCCCATTGGGGGTCTGGCGGTCAGACAGATGACTGTTCCAGTGTTAAAGCCATGAAATGAGTGACAAAATCCCTTTGCAATGGCCTTTGTGAGGAGGTGGAATGGCCAAACAAACACTTTCCCAGGGTTTGGGTAATTCAGAGAACAATCCCACTAGGCTGTCAGGTTGAGCCCTGCAATTCATTACTGACTGTGCTGAGCTGATTTACAATCACAGTGTGCTATAAGTTGTGGTAAACTGTTATTTTATAACACTTGGATTTGCAATGAATTACAGTAAATGTTGCTTACTTTAAAAATAATTAGCATTGGGGGATATGGATCTGTCTTTGCCAAAATTCTGTAAAATGAGCTACAGATTATAATATTAAAAGTGCAGGTCACAGAAAAAGGAAAAATAAAAAATGCATTTTCCATGTAAAGATGATGGTGAAGAGCATTTTGTTATTTTATAAATACTTCTTTCTTTATTTCAGTATACAAAATAACAGTATGTACATCCACACAAAAGTGGTTTACAAAATCCATGAGTTCAGCTCATATGCTCTGAAAAATAGAATATATTTTGAACTGCGTGTCAAACATAAAGGAGATAATGCACCATTTCACAAAGTTCTTAATGCTCCTCTCTCAATCCACAGGGATGCAGGCAAGCTCCACACAGGACACATGTTGAGAGTCCAAAACATCAACCACAAAAAATGTTCCGTGATTGAAAAGTACTTGAAGTTCCCTTTGTGTTCCTTTTTCCTCTATTGTCCTTTGCTGCACAGCAAAAACATTTTAAGTACCTAAAAAAGTACCACATGGATCCTTCGATTTCCGTGGAATGAAGCCAAACATAAGTCTCTGTCTACTGAGGGGAAAAGACAATCCCTCTCCTCCAGCATAAAATCCAATATTATTTCTTTTTATTAGAGATATAATAAAATAGACTTTCAATAGCCCTGTTAGGGGGATTTATAACCATTAACAAGAAAAAGGAAATACCCAGGAGGACGGCGGTCTTCACGTAAACCGGTACTCTCGCCACATCCAGTTTTGTGAAGCGAAAAAGCTTAGAAGCCCATTTGGCAGTTTGGAGATTTGATACAAAAATGATACTGACACAAGAATAGACCAATTCTTGAGATACACATGCTAAAGACAAAAGTAAGCCTTCTCTGTATTGTAGTGCTTTGGTTAATTTGTAGCCTCAGGGGGCTGTGTACAAGTAGAGGACTGCTGGTGGGGCTGGCAGCGGCACAGACTCATTTGCAAACGTATCTCTCCACGAGCCGCTCACACTTCTTGCAGGTTACGTAGCAGCACCAGTGGTACTTGCAATGGCAGCGCTCCACCAGCTTCTCTGTGTACGGGTTGTAGCCACGGCCGCAGCACATCAGGTCACAGCTGTCGCTGCCAAGAGAGGTTTTGTTGCACTGCCTGAAATTAGCATAGACAAAAAGAACATATTATCTTAGAGATTTCATTTTGTGTTACAGCTACAGATTTATGCTTCAACAAGATAGAGAAAAAGAAAGTTTTGGACTTGAAGGGTAACATATTTGCAGTTTGGTTTCCTGCCTAAGACAGTTAGGTTTACAGCTTCATTCAAAAATATATTTTATAATCTCACAGCCTGTGAAGAGCCCAGATTAATCTTCTAAAAGTGCTTGAATGACTGAACTTTTGTGCAGTGAAGTCCTTCTTCTAAAAAATGTTTGTCCTTTCATTTTCTTTTTGTTTCATTGTCTCTGGGCAGTGGGTGCTAGGGAGCCTCTGATTTCAGAAGCCTAAGGCATCTTGAATGAGCAGTAAATAGCCCGACCGTAAATCACACTGAATACACAGGGCTGCCCTCCCTTTCTTTAGCTTGCCCTCTCCACATAATTGCATTGTTTTATGATGGCAGAGTGTTAATGACCAATATGGTGAGGGAGACGCTGAGCTGAAGGCTGCTGCGGGAGCAAAAAGAGGAGGAGGAGGGACAAGAGTCATTGAGAGTGTAAGACAGGTTTATTACATTGGTGGGAGCTGGGAAATAGACAGAACCCCCCCCCCCCCACGGTTATGTTCTATTAGGAGCAAGATCTCAATAGATCGCTTCTGTGTGGATCAAGAGTGAGAATCCTGCTAGTTTAAGAAGAGGCATAAAAATGGAATTTAAGACTAATGAACGCTTCAATAGCGTGCCTCTTCCCAGGTCTATGATCACACTTTATCCATTAGGAACTGCTGCTAAAATTCACTTTCCCTGTCCCAGATTCAGGGTCTGAAAATAACTTTTCTCGTGGCAGGCAAGTTTTTTTTGTCTGCTCATTTAGGCGTCATTTAATGTAAATTAAATTGTTCAGTGTTCACTATATTTACACAAAAACATTACTGCATGCTTGAATGTAAAAAGGACCCACATATTTCAGTGCATCACTCCACCTTACTTATCAACCAGGTATTTCAAAGGTCTCTACACACGACCAGAAACACAAAGTTCACACAAAAAACCAAGGTTCAACCACTAATGAATGAGTCCTTATCTCAGTTCAAATCTCCACAGGAGTCCATTTCTCAACAAAAACCTCCTCTTCTGGATCCAAGCAAGCAAACAAAAAAATACTTTTCAGTACGTAGTTGGCCACTAAAAATAAAATCATGTGTTGCATACTGCATCTAATAGACAAGCTTGGCGATTCTACGACAGCACTGGAGTTACTGTCTGTAGTTCGGCTGGTCACGCCAGATGGACTGGGCCTCTTCCACCGGTGAGTTTGGTTGGAAACGCCGTCGTAGATACCCCTCGAGCTGACTGATGTGTGTGTGTGTGTGTGTGTGTGTGTGTGTGTGTGTGATATGCAGGCTCGTGTGCCGATCGCCACAATACATTAATCTTACCACATGCTGCTTTCTGTTGTGTATTTCCCTGCATGGTATCTGCTGCTCTCATCTCTTGTGAATGGGTCAGCGCTAACAATGTAGACAGGGGTAAGGTCGATTCAAGTGTGAAAACTGATAAAACCTCTGCTCGAGTGGCCACCAGTGAGCGAGAAATCAGTGGTGAGATTACCGTGGAAAAGAAGACCATACTGTGGCAATGCAATCGGTCTAGACACTCGTGGGAATAATCCATACACACGCATGTACACTCACAGTTACTCATACACAAACATCAGCGTCACACGCTCATGTAATGATGCCAGCAGAGCGGGCGCCTCAGGACTTTGCTACTGCGTGTGGCTGCTGCGTTATCAGGCAGCAGACACCTTGGGGACAGTGAGTGTCCTTTACATGAAGAATGTCTTCTGGTTATCTGTAGAGTAGTCTAATGCTGAAGGGAACGTTTTCTAACATGTCATATGATGTATGACATTTATAACATATAACAACATCACGTGCCATTTTAGTGAATCTCATTATTCTCAGTGGCTTACACAACCATGGCTGCTGAATGTTCTTGCTAAAGTACATTGTTCTTATACGGTGGGGTGTGTGTGTGTGCTTAAACAAGCTAACGGATGATCAGTGCTGAAATGTTGGTGAAATTATATCTGATGTGATTATATTAACAGAGACATTAGTCACACGCACACACACACACACACGCAAAGTATTCATGGTAAATTGGGAAACTCAACACGCTTGCAAGATAGCGCAGCATAATTATGGCCTACTTCTCTTAGGGTTGGTCAAATCTTAACCTGAGCCACGCCCTCAGACAAATGGGCTCCTCGTTGCCCTCAAACCTCTCACAGAGCACAGACCAAACACTGTCCCAACTAAAACACTGGAGCTGGATGGTGTAAATAAACCTTTATCTTTGGGGGACCATTAACTATTTCCCCATCTGTGTGGCCCTCTCCAATCAATATCAGCTCAAGTGCACTCAGTGCTAAGAATAAATGCATTAGTCATTGTTTTAGATAGCGGGACAGCGACTCCAGTCACAGCTGCCTTTTCAGTGACAGATGCTCAGACAGAGTACTCTCAAGGGCCACTGGCTGTTATCAGCCAGCCTGCAAACTAAACGGTGCCACCAGGAAGGACGGCACTAAAATCAACATCCTGGATGAGCAGACATTCAGGACGGGCCATTTCCTTCCTGTGTCATGCTAATCAATCCAACACCAAACCACCAAATATTGCCCTCTTTCTCATGCACTCACACAGTCACACACAATGATGTGATGTGGCAGTCTCACCTGTCTTGTGTGCCAACAGAGCCCTGTTTATCATTCTTGGTACAGAAGTCCGGGGAGCTCTGCAGGTAGACCAGCTCGTTCTCTCTCACCGGCCTGATGTCAATGTCTTTGGGTACCAGCTGTTTGCGTGTCCCCATGGGCCGGTGAACCACTTTGGTGGCAGACAGGTACTTGGTCTTCAGGTCCATGGCGATCTCCCTCAGGTCTTGCAGCCCTCTCCAGCAGGTCCGTATGGAGCAGGAGCCGGACACACCATGACATTTACACTTCATCACCAGGGCCTCTCTCAACACCTATTCATGGAGACAGAGGAGACGAGGGCTAGATAGCAACCTACTCACTCTTTGTGGGATTGACATTCCCACAGATAAGACGCCGTACAAGCCAGGCAAACTAAAACTAAACGGTAGCGTCCAACGTGTTAAGCTTCTTTAGAAACAACCACTTTGCATTTTGCACTTGTTTTAAGATGAAGCCCTATATTGCTTACTTGTCTCCCGACTTCACTGTTGTGTAGGTGCATCAGTTTGTTGGCGTGGGAGCCTGTGCGCTTCATCTTCATGGGAGCATCAGAGAACTTGGAACCCATGATCAAACCGTAGTGCAGGTTGTCAGCACAGCCGCCCCAGCGGTAGCCAGGCTCTGGGATCTCTGCAGGGATGGGGCCACACGAGCACAGCCGCAAATCTCCAGAAGTGCACGCCCGTGCTATGGTGTGGCTGATGGTTGCTGCGGACAGGGCATAGACAAATGCAGCCTCTCTTGTTCCTGTCGAAACAGATAAGAAACTCAAATTACATAGGGAAAAATGCAAGACGCCGGGTTTTTTTAGGTCCCCAGTCCAGTAGAGTTCAACACATAAGCACATATTATGTTCAGTGGTCACCAGCTTACTAATTTTCATTATCAATTCTTTTCTTGATAAATGAAGTAATCAATGTCTAGCCAACAGTCTAAAACTAAAACTGAGCTACACCCAGACACCAGACAAAGAAGAGCAGCACATCTTCAAAATTTAAAACCCAGAACTAGTGAATGTTTGGCATTTTTGCTGGATTAATCGATTATTAAAATAGTTGCAGATTTTTTGGGAGGATTGATAATAGACTAATCATTTCAGCGCTACTGGTTATTAATAGAAATTAAATCCATGAAATAATATTTACTTAATAAAGGAAGCAACCAGCAGAGTGTGTGAATATTCTGTCGGATTTTGTTTAAATGTAGTGCGATTAGGATGCAGGCACTGCTAGTTTTCATGCTTTAAAGACTGGCATTTGTCATAATGTATGCTCAAGCGTGTAGTGGTCACCTTGATCTGATGGATTCCAATGATTAAATGTTATTACAGCAAATAAAAAAAGGATCAAAACATTTCTCTCTCTCCCTCTCAGCGCTCTACTGTCTCAGTGGGGGGAAAATAAATATTCTGCACAAAATGAAACTATCAAACACAGTCCATCACTACTCGTACCGTAATGCAGAGTGAGCACTGATGTAATTGGTGGTGATGCGTGTACGTGGATAGCACATATGTTAAAGGTCGGGGAGCATTTGGAAGGAAGGGAAGAAATCATGTATGACCCTGGGCTGGTTAGATCAAAGGCATCCCTGGACAGAGATGAGCCATTTCCTGTTCGGTGCAGAATGTTCATTTGGCAAATGGCAGCGATGTGCTTTCTGGGGAGCGCTGCATAGCTCCCACACCCACAACCCAGTAAATTGTCTCTGGCTGACTCAAGGTCCTTTTGGCAATAGAAACACAGCTAAGTCAGACTGCAACGCAAACAGGCGTGCAGTCAGGTAAAGCTGTGGGTTTTGGATATAAATAACAAGCCAATTACTTTATCATCCAGAATGTACACATGTTGTGTGTGTATATATTGTGTGTATTCTCAAATAACAGCTTCAGTACAGGTCCCTGGTGAAGGCTCCTCGGGAATAATTATGGAATAATTTGTCTGGCAGCAAAAAAGTGGAAAGATGAAGCAGCGTGTCATCTTAAACAGAAATAGTTTTTCAAAAAGAACAACATTATTCTGTATAAAAGTTCTTCAGATTGCCGACATGTTAAAACATACAGATACATTTGATTGTGGTGTCTGAGCATAGACACCATTAAAGGGCTGTGGATCATTTCACCAGTTACTGTAAACTAATCTGCAATACATGCAGCACTTAATGACCTTGGTTTTGGATATTCACTGAATGTCAAGCTCGACCATAAACACCAGACTCTTGTGGGTAAAAGAAAGTGGAGCGGCTCTTTGGAAGCAACGGCGTCTTCGCTGTCATTCCAAACTCTTTATGACCATACCTCGGTCGAGGTCTGGACGATACTTCGGGGCATCAAGGGGGATGTCAATGGAGGAGCAGTTCCAGCGCATGTCAGCGAAGGTCTTCTGACATGTTTTCTTGACTTCGCGGGCAGCTTGGATAATGGTCTGCATGAGCTCCAGGTTGCTGCGGCACAGCTGAGCTTGGGAGGACACCATGCCAGGCAGCAGCTTACAGTGATGGGTCTGGTTGATGTGTAAAGATGCAGGAGCGTGTGACAGCGATCTGCAGGGGGGTAAACAAAAGGAACTGGTCAGTTTGCATTATACGATACATAATATTTTTATTGTGGTGATGATGCAATGATGTGATGATTTCTTTACCACATTTTTTTGTTTGTTTTATGAGTTGTGAAGTGATCACGTTTGTGGGAATAAAAGTGCATGGCGTGAGTTTAAGTTCCCGCGGTGTGTTATCGATTTGAGTTTTTTGTGTACACACATTTCAAGCCTCTGAGACTCCGTCAGCTTCGAACAAACAACTGAAAAATCCAAACAGATCATGCTTCAGGCAGGGAAATATTTTGGCACGTGTTGCATAAAAGAACCATCTTATCACACGAAAATCCCGAAGGAAAGTCAGCTGCTGATTCATAAAATATCAGTGACACGTTCTTGGCATGGGGATTTTCTTTTGTTAAAGCACCGAATAGGCCTAAAGATACGCCAAAAAGTATAAAACTCCCACTAAATTCTGATCCACTGTCAGATGAGAAACAACATAGATCCCTCAACATTTGCATTTTCCACCACAGGAAGCATCATCCTCTGTGGCCTCAGTTTGACATGAATCATCCGTTTACAGACTACTAAAGGGTGCACGCATTTGATTGAAACGTTTTAAACTTATTGAGGATTTACTTAATAGAGAAACCACAGGTGGAGCAGGTTAGCTCTGATCTCTGCTTTCTGTGTCTTGCACTCTGCTGAGAGTTCGTGAGAACCAGGCAGCGCCGCCTGCACCTTGGCCTGTTTTGCATTAGGGGCCGAGGGGCCGCCACTCTGTGCCCAATGATAAGCTGTGACTCCACTGGTCTCGTGGTAACCCGGCACTCACAGGTGTTTACAGCTGCATCTGTTTTGCATTGCACCGCTGTGCATTATCAAGACTGTAAGACTTCTCGCTTAGATTTAGCACATGCCACCCCAGCTCTCATGGGCAGATCTGCTTAAGTCCTCCCACTGTGACTATTACAACCACTCATTCTGATAAGAAGCCATAGATTTTTTTTTTTTGGGTGAAGCCAATGAAGAACACTGTGTTTACACAGTGATCAGACATAAGGCACAGGGATGGAAACTCAGATAAAGACCAGACACCAGAATGAGCACGTTGTGAAGAAACCTCAACGGGTTTATAAGAATACCAAACAAAACCATCTGAAACATTCAACTGAAACATAAACAAATTCAAAAAATAGCAACTTGGGAATTTTATGCACTTATTGCGAAAATGACTGTTTACTTTTACTCTACCATGAAAACAGTGTAGCGCTCAGTACGAGCAACCAACATTTGTATCAACATTTATGGCATCGCAGCCAGCTTCCTTCACTAGCACACTATTTTAAACTGACTCAGGCTTAACTAGACTACACACAAGAAGCAGTCACATCACTGGCACTGTCTGCGCCACCACGCCGCCTCGTCATCTTTGACTTATTTTCCTTTCTTATCTTCTTATTACACAGCAGGGGGTATATTTTCTCTAAGATGTTGGAACTGAAATACGCGTGCCATCTCCTTTTACTGAAGCCACATTAAAGTTAATAAAACAAAGAGTTTTCTGGTCACAACCTGAAGAACTGCCAACTAATCAACTGTCTCCTTCATCAGATGCACATGTACAGAACACACAGCTTCTCCCTTGATCGGGAGCAACTCGAGGAATGTTGGGGCCCATTTCAGAGCTGCCACCGACCCTACGCTTCATAAAACACTGAAATGTGCAGCAAAGAGCCACAAAATATCGTGTATGTTCATGATGTCATCCTTTTTGACATTGTTTGACTGTTAGCAGTGTAAAGATTGGGAGAGGCCTAAAGAGTGAGATGGCGGCACTCCTGGGAATACTTACAGCCATTTGATGCCAGAGCAGACTTGAGACAGCAGCAGAGCCGTGAGTACACCAAGAGGCAGGACATGAGAGCTGCTCCTCATGGTTGGATAGTGGCTCCAGTTCACACAGGACACAAATACAAAAGGCTGTTGGGCTTCTTGGTTGCGACTCAAAAGTCAACTTTCATGGCACGACCTCTTCTTCTAAACTCTGTAATAAATAACATCAGTAACATCAATGACTTGGCGATACCACTGCATGCCATTTTTTATTTTCACTCATTTTAAGTATTAGTTATTTCTCTTGGTGCACTGATGAATGCTGTTTAAAAACCATAGCTCTTTGCGTGAGCTCTGAATCCTTACAAGGTTTAGATCTTTAAAAGATCATTCAATAACACACACATCTGATAAAGAAAGGCCTGATACAGGAATATACCATTACCATCTATAAATGCAGCCATTTGCAGGAGTATTGTTTAGTTCTCCTTTCTGTATGCACACAGTAAACAAAGAATAACACAAGAGGAAAAACTGGAAATGAGAAAAAAAAATTGTGCTTTGCAAGAAATACTTTCTAGACCGTTCGCTAACACCAAGCGTTCAAGCACACTGTAGAGGATGTAATGGAAATTATGAGTTCAAACCCCTCCAAGAAACAAGACAAGTAATTACAAGAAAACTCTTAAGACAAAGAAATTTACATTTTAATTAAGGGACTATTGCTGTAGGCCTATCTGTGTTACAGGCAGTGTGTCAGGAGGCACAAGCCTGACTTCATTCTGCTTCATGTTGTTTTGTTATCACATCTGCATTTCTATAATATAGCCTACAATAAAAGAGTCATAAGATATCATAGCTGATTGTTGCACCAGTATTGTTAGTTTTATAGGGGGGATGGATTGGATGATTTAGGTTAGCTACAATCACGTGAACATTTCCTCAACTTTAGGACAGAACATGCAGGCAAGGAGGGCCCGTGACCATGCGCTTTCAAGCTGGCTGGTTTATTTTAGTCTCTGTAATTCGGCTCGCTGTCACCTCAGCTCCACTGGGAGAAATTGAATTTCAACTGAGTCTAGCAGATCCACGCAGAAACTCGCAGTCAGTGGACAGGGCAGCCCATCAGAAACATAATGGTTTAGCGCTCCGAGCCGCTGATAAGCAATCTCTTTGAATAGAGCTTAAACTGAGCGCGTTAAAACTGCAGGTATCTGATAATGGGCCCGTTTAAAGCACGAGTTCCGTTCCTCGCAGCTGATTGGCGGAGACGCCTCCGAAACTGTGTGAAATCACTGATATTAATTATTTAAATGCAATAACCGAAACTCGGCGGCCGACTGTTGTGTGTTAGGCTACTCTGGATCCAACTGCCTTTCCACACCAGGACTCTGACCTGCAGGCTGAAAGAATAAAAGAATTAGACCATCACGGAGCCACTATCCTACACATTTCCACTCTTTGTTTCCCGCTTGGCGTCGTATCTGTTTAAATAGCATAAGTCCCGGCCTCAAGTGGATGTGGGCCACTGTTTAAATTTCCATTTGGCCAAAGTGGGCTAAATGGTAGCTCCTGTTTCCCCCTAATAGATAAAAACTGATAGCCCCACACTCACCAAGATAAGCCTGGCAGGACTAATACTCAGAGCCTACTTTCTAACGATTAGTGAGGATCTAATTAGTGGAGCTAAACTAACAGGGTCGGGAAAGGATATTTTTATAGGCTTCATGCCTAATGTTTGTGTGTTATAATATTGTAGGCCTATTGTTTGCCAATCTGCTTGTGAAGACGTCCTATGAAGCTCTGCACTGGAGCTGTGATATGTTTTAGGCTCCATACAATTAAAATACAACAACTAAACCTAAACGGGACTAAATGCAGTTCTGATTTCTCCAATCTTAAACTAATCTGTGTCACACTCTCCCCGGCAAATAGCCTAACTCTGGCGACAAACAAAGCGACTCTGTATTCACTCACTAATCCTAAACTTTAAACCTACTGCGTGCGCACAAAGACGCACCGCACTCACTAACAGCAGCACAAGATCTCCTCCGGCCAAAAAACAAGTTTGAGCTCACCTTTGCCGCTGCGCTCAGCTTCCACCGATCAACGAAACAAGAGAAAAGGGGGTGGAAAAAATGAAATCTCGGCAGGAATATCCTTTCAGGCTGCTGTCTGTGTCGGTATCAGCCAGATGCGTTAGTAAAGTCCAACATCGGGTGGTGGAATAGCTCCGGGCAGGTACGCATGATGTGTATCAGAGCGGTGTCGGTGCGTGAGCGCGCGGGGGGACAGAGGAGAGGTCTGAGCAGAGGAGGGGGAGTGAGCCTGAGTGGGGGCAGCCTCCGCTCTAAAGTACCCCTGCCCTGCTTTGATCTCACTGCTGATGTCAGACCGGCATTAGCATAAGAAAGCTGCACGGGGACAGAGCTATTCGGAAATACTAGAATGTAATGTAGTGGGACTGATATCCCATAATATTCCCAATGGGAAGTGGAGAGAGTTATAGTGTGTCTATGACGATTTAGTGACCTTATCTGAACGGCATTTCTGTAGCTGCTCTGGTATCTTACATACTCCCATAAAATTCCTGCAGTTCTACAAGGACACTTTGTAGTGACCTTATCATCATGCAGTTATAATTATTCTATAGGCTGCAGGAGATTACATGGCTATAAAAGTTAGGTTATGCTATACAAAAACATAAGACCTATTAAGTGTCCTTACAAAATTTGTTTCTGGATTAGAAAAATATTTCTTGCACTAAAAAACAAAGTGGCACTCAGTTATCTAGTTTTGCATTCTTCTTTAGAAACAGCTATGCAGTCTTTTTCCTGGGTACACTGCTAAAAATATCAAAACTACAGCAATGGACCAACAGTAGTGTAAAAAGGCCACAATGAGACACATGTAGGCCTACCAAGTTATTTAATATTTTATTCTTAAGATATAAAAAGATTCACAGATACATAGTGTATTGATCTATGGTCATAGTGCTATTGTTGATCCGGACAAATAAAGAAAGAAATGTTCTGCTTCTGTTTATTTTAACAGCTTTGTGGAAAAATATAAATAACTAAATCATCCTACTAAAATTACAGAAAATGTCCGTGTCTCCTGCTTTTTATCCAAGACCATTTGAAACATGAAACATAAAAATGTTTTACAGACTTTGCTGCATGATTTTCCTTTAGTGCGCTTAGACCAACAAAGAGAGAGAGAGCTACAACTAAAATTCAAGAAGGACTCGGCTGTGGTAAAACTCTGCCCTGCACAGTCTCTCCTGTGTAAGCAAATCGCCTTCACAATAAATATTTCTGAAAGTAATGCTCAAGGGAAATGTCATTATGACAGACACCATTTCTGTCTTTATCTCCAGTGAACTACAGTATAATCAGTTTTTATGTTGACACTGGAATCACTTCCAATTTGAAATGTAAACGATGCTCCGAATTCACAACGACACTAAAAACACATTTTAATAATTAGGGTGGATACCATACACAATGTATTGTAATACAATGTGACATGATATTTTGTTGTTATAAATACACACATGCACACACACGCACACACACATGCAAACACACGTGCACACAGTCTTTAAAACATTTCAAATAAAACCTTCCTAAGGTTACAGAGAGTTTTCCTGCTCTGGCTGATTTCCTTAAATATTAACCACACTGTAAGCGATATGCTGCAGAGCCAGCTGTGGGAAAGTAATGTATAGTTTCCCTGAGAATCGGCTGCACCTCCAGCGCTCAGACAAAGGCAATAGTGAGCTGTTGTCCAGACCTTGACCTTGCAAGTGGTATAGCTAACATGGCTGGCCTGCTGCTCTGCTGGCTGCTCCACCGGGAACAGCAGATCAGGCTTTGTCATGCTGTCTCCAGCCACAACAAGCCCTCTTCCTCTGGTAGCACTCAGACCTTGTGTCAAAATCTGGTGGCCTAACAGCACCTTTAACACACAGGATGATAGCCCCATGTATCTTATTTACAATGGGGCTGTAATCCTGGTTCCAGTGCGACTCAATGTGTTTTACATGGCATTCAACTGTGAATGAGCGCATGTCAGCGTGTGTGTGTGGGAGTTGTGGAGCTTCCAGCAGGATCGGGCCCGTCTACAGAGGAACTTTTTACACTCAGGCGCTCCATTCCTGAGCTAGGATCAACCCGCAGCCCCTTGATCTTCACATCTTACCTTCCAAGCAACACAGACGGGGGAGAGAGACAGAGGGGGATAAGAGAGCCACTGGAGTTCATGATAATGAAATAACTCATGTCACATAACAGTGGAATCAGGCAGAGTTATGATAGATAATCCACATGCAGGATCAAAACCAGCTTTACGGAGGTAATGTTACAGTTACCTCGTCCTTTTTAAATGTCACGATAATCAGTTCTTGACATGGTGGGATTACTGGCAAAAAAAAAGCTACAATGTGTGTATGAAAAGATGTCCTATTATATTTACAATAAAAACATTTCCAAGTTTCAAAAAAAATCTATTTTATATTATTATTTAACCCAGATGTGGTTTGAGCCTGAGATGGAAGTTTATTTTCAATCAGTAATTAAATAAATCCCTTCAGATTGTGGGATGTCATGAACCCACTGAAATAATTTAAGACCCCAGAATGTAAATGCACAGAAATAGAAACTGTCGTTAATTTGCCTGTGTTAAAACACTGCATTATGCAAACTGTATATCACAATCCTGTGTTGTCACAAATTAAATGTAAAAAAACAAACTGACTGTATGAATAACTAAAACTGGCTGAGTACAGTGTTAATGTTTGGGAGGAATGAGCCCTCTGGCGCGCAGCAATAAGCCATTGTCCTTTAAATCTCAAGAGGATAGAGCCAATATCACAAGTCTGGAGGCTCGCTGGGTGGGGTGGGGGGGTGGGGGGTAAGGACACTCAACTTTCACCCATGAGGATCAGAGCCTGAATGGGTGCAGAGTTACTATTATGCCCCTGGAAAATACTCCCATGCTCCCATCAGGATACATACATATAAAACCAAATTGAGCTCCAATGAACAAAGCAAATGTAAAAAAAGTTACTGGCAAAAGTAAATGTTTGATGTTGATTTAAATTTTTCATTCCTTGCTGTTAGAAATGTTTCATGAAGATTTAAAGGGGAGATTAAAAAATCAAAACAACTTAGTTCAGTTTTAATGCCAACACTGTACTCATCACACAATAGGAAAAAGCCCACTGCCATGTTTTTATTTTAAAGTCTTGTCCCTTTAATTTTGTCAGTTTTTGATAAAATAATGTGCAAACCACAATGATAAACTAATAAAGCTTTAACTTTGATGAGGTATGTTCGTTTCTGCCTGTCCTTTATTACCAACTAGACCCATTTGACCATAGATCATTTTCCAATCAAAATTTGAAACAGAAGTTTGATTAACAGCCTCAGAAATAGAAGAAAGCACAAACTTAAAAGGGAATTTTCAAATGGAAACAATCAGTGAACCATGGCCGTAACGGTTAGCTTTCCTTTTGCCTCTTATCTTCAACCAAACACTGTATGGTGCAGGGCTCTGCTGCCAGCTGATTATTGACAAATAACAAGAACATTATGTATTATGAACAGCATTCCTAAAGGCTATAAACAGTCACATCAGACCCGCAGAGGGACAGTGACAGCTTCGGATCAGCCATGTGAAAATCCCATCACCCTCCGGTGTCCCTCCTGTGAAAGCTGCTGTAGCTCACAGTGGGGATCGTCCACAGAAACAACAAGCTCAGTCCAATCTGTCTGACTGGACTCACATCTTTTGTATACCATTTGTTTATAACCTCTGTCTCTATTGTGCTTTGAGGACAGAGTCCTTTCAAGTGACAGATGGGTGGCACTTTTGAACACGTCATGTGGTCCTCCAGGGGTATGGGCCGTGTCTTCATGAGGCCTGGATGATTCCTGAAAAACAAACTCGCCCTGGCTCTTCTGGTTTGAGCTGAGGGTATAAAAGTTGATGGCACTTTGGGTTAACCAGCTGAGAGAGGAGTGGATTCCGGTAATAAAACTATTTAAGCACATTACAGTCATATCACCAGAGGATGATAAATCTTTGTTAAATTGAGTCCATTCAATGCATGAAAACAAGCTCCCTCAAATAAACACTCTTTGAGGGAAACTTAATATTACATTTTTCTACTCGAGTGGTTAAATCACTTTAACACAGACAATTCTCACCAAAGATGGAAACTAGAAGATCAAGACATTAATGGACTATGTCATCAGGTGATGTGATTTGGATCGGTTTCATTGACACAGAATAACGGACTCAATCAATGGAGAAGTAGAATTTTGCCCACTTCCCATCATCGAAGTAGGCTCCTCCATCCAAGGAGTATTCAGATCTTTTACTTAAGTAATATCATAGTGCAGAATAAATAAATACTCTGTTAAAAGTCCATCAGTATTAGCATCAAAATGCACTTAAAGTAACAAAAGTAAAATTACTCATACAGAGTGGCTCATTTCATAATAATAAATTAATAAATTATATTATTGGACTGTAATTATTGACACATTAATATGTAAGCATCACTGATGTTGTCGCTGGTGTTAGTGTGGAAGTCATTTGAATTCATCTGATCTAAATATTTAATATTACATAAGTTATATGTTTAATTGTTAATATGTTAATTTGAATCTGTAAGTACTACAGCTGTGAAATAAATGCAGTTGAGTAAAAAGTACAAAATATTTCCCTCCGAAATGGAGTGGAATAGAAGTACAAAGCAGCATGCAATTAGTCAAGTACCTTAAGATTGTACTTAAGTACAGTACTTGAGTTAATGTATCAACTTCACACAACAATGTCTTAGGATTTGATTTATTATTTACTGTCTATGGAGCAGCTGCAGGATTTGTCTTACGACATCAACGCTTTAGTCTGTCTCTTTACTGTTCTTCTGGTCCAAGTCATGAATTACAACTGAGGAATACGTCACTTAAAAATTAACACATGTGAATGATATTTTTTGACGTATTTTCTCTATAAAAAGACACAGTTCTTCCAGTGTCAAGGGCGGCAGCACTGTCTCACACAGGCCCTTTATCACACTGTATGAAGCCATATCACTGAGTCTGAAGAGGTGTTGCTGAAGAGGAGCAAAAGCTGTTGAGGGCCAAGGGGGTTGAGGTGAACCATGTAGGCGGGGTGATGACTTCAGCAGAGTTTGAGGCGCTTTATTCATTTACAGACGTCTCTCACACCTCCTGGCAAACATGAAGCTGGAGAGCGATAGATCAGTGGTTCTCAAAGTGGAGTGTGGGGACCCCCAGGGGTCCTTGGTTTCAGGGGGTCCCCAGCAAAAAAAGGGAATAAATATTGTTG